CCGCGTACGACAGTTTCGCTCGTCGTCCCATTTAGTCCAGTCAGCTCATCTATTTTTTATTAGTGCATGTCACTCCTAGCAGCTCCTCTCAACGCCACCGACGCCGCCGTCGCCACCGCCGCTTTCAGAAACAGTAGTCACCGTTGCCGCAGCTTTAAAACAAGCGAGGAACAACAACGACGAGGAGGAGAGGGAGGGCAGCGGCAGGACGAGACGATGAACAAGCGACGATGGTGGTACGCAAAAATCTGAAAGAAGTCTCTGTGCGTTTTTCTACGTCGTGGCATACTTTTTGAACGACGACTGCGACTACGAAATAATACCTCCTCCCGTACGTGTCGCGTCAATTGTCTGCTTAGCGAGGGAAAGCGCGCCGTCAACAGCTACCTAACAATCACCCGCTGCTGCTACAGAAAGACAAGAGCGCTCAGGCACGAGCTGTTCTAACGTTTCGGTACCCGATTCTCGTCCTAACGCTGCAGCCGCCTGCCGGCCAGTTGCACAGTGACAGCACATCGTTTAACACAGCCACCAGTATTCATCACTGCAGAAACTGGTTACACAGCGGTTACCAAGTAAACCTTTCCACAAAGTTTGTGTGAACAGTAGTTAAGTGAACTCAACACCTGAACACTATATTAGATCATTATTTTACATAGACCATCCAAGGTGATCGAAAGCTTTTCGCTGTTTGACGTTACCGTACTGAGAGTAGGAGTTCTAGCATATTCAGTTTAACAGGGGTCTGCTTATCGAGTCGACCTCCTCAACACTTTCCCGTCTCGGGTCAAATTTTCGATGACGTCTCGCAGCTTCATATCGCTCTTAACGGCATCCCTCCATCTTTTCTTTAGTCTTCCCCTTCTTTCCTTCTCTGATATTTTCAACGCTTTGGTTACATTTTCAACGCATTATTAGGTCTTCTTTTCAAGTAGACGAACTGAATAAGCTTTTCTGAAATTAAGGCTATGCCTAGGGTGCCTCTTATGAAGTTGTTTCGGATGTGGCCCTTTCTGCTGATACCACATATCCATTTGAGCATTCGCATTTCTACCGAGTTCAGCTGTTGCTTATGTCTCTTCAGAATTGTTAAATCTTCCGCTCTGTGCAGAAGCACTTGTCTTACCATCGTTCTGAACACCTTGCCTTTGAGAAGTTCGATAGACAACGTCATGTCGCACAGTACTTCGCTCACTTCTCTCCAATTGTGTCGAGCTTCTTTTCGACGGATTTCTTATCTCGCAGTCGATTTCCGCATTATCTTGAAGGATAGAACGAAGGTAGCTGAATTCTTGGGTTTGAGGCTGCATGCTCCCAGCTACTGTCGGGACTATAAATCAGTTCTCCACACTGAATTGGCCTGCCGTGTATTTTCATATGCTTTTGCTGAGTCGAAGACCATTCTTTTCGAGGATAAAAATTTTTGAATATGTTTTTGTTCAACTATAAATTAGCAACGTGCGCAATTTTTTTAATAAGTATATATTCATCGAAAAATGCAGCCACGTGCTGCCGCTACAGGTTGTAATGGCATCAGAGATTTCAATAACTTTTATTCACTAAAGTGAGAGCGAGCGTTATTCATTATATTTTATGCAGAAAACTTTGTTTGTGGAAACAAACCATTTTATTTTTGACTTCTTGCTAAACAAAGCCGCGAACCCGATGTTAATCAAGCTTCTCAAACGGGAGTTATTACGACAAGTGTGGCAAGTTTGATCTGTTGAACTTAACATCCTGTCAGCCACATCGTCACCGTATAAAGATAATTCACTAGTTGTTGATTCGTGGTTTAAACTTGGGCCTTATTCCAAACGAACATCTACAAAATTAAAATTTTTAATTCTTCAGCGTATCGCGCGCATTCCTACAACTGTTAATGACTGTCAGTTAGGAAACGTATTTGTAAGTTATGTTACAGAAATTGCCTTATTAACAATAAAAGACTGTCGTTGGCAGTCAGTCAGAGAGTTTCAATGACCACTTATTTCAGGTCGTGGAGGCAGATGTTTCACACAGCGTCTCCAATGACTCCGACAATTGAACTACGGCAGAAGATAATCCCGATTTGGAGCAGATCCGTCGAGACACTTATCCTAGGCCATTTTTGGTTGACCATGAATTTGTTGGTTTGTAGGTTTTGGAGGTAACACTACATTGTCTTCCTTTCCAGAAACAATTGGAATACTTGTCCATGTCATTCAAGCTATGAGTTCTCAATATAAGAAAGCAGTGGTTATATGCGAAGCTCTCGGATATCTGCACTCTCCACCGTATCGTCTGAGACGTCTCAGAAAGCCAATTTCAGCCGCTTGTACCCGAGGCCGATATTTTCCTGTCATGACTAACGGCTAATGACCGCATGTGAGAAACGGGAAAACGATCGACTTGAACACATTGAGATTAATCTTCAGACTCAGCTTTGCTTCAATTCGCAATATTTTGGGCTAATACAGACAGAAGGCGACAGGCCATTTTAGTTC